TGCATAAATTAAATATGTTGTCAAAATATTCTTGAATTTGTTTTGTTTGGTTTTGTGAACTTGTTTGCTCATTAATTTAATATTATCATAAATTTTATGCAATAACAATATCATCTGGAATAGTAAAAGTGGAATAGTAAAAGTAAACAGACGATATATATTCAGCAGAATCAACACTTGTTACAGGCACAAGGATAAATTGGTAATTGAATATCATTCAGACGATACATTCAGCACACAATGTAAACAGCTTGTTATACTAGTGTCACTTATTCCAGACAAACGTATTAATACAGACAGACGTCTTAATCCAGACAAGACTTAATGAAAAAAAGTAAACAACCCCTTAGACGACTTATTTCAATCTCAAACCAAACTTAAACAAACCAGACCAGTCCATACTTGGATATTAGAAATAGTAGAAGCACATGTTTGAACATTTTCCCACAAGTATAATTCAAGAATGACATAACACACTTTCACATATTTTACTCCCTTATTTTACCTTTTTTTTAAATGAACTTTCCCATTAGAGAATCAATCAGATAGTAACAAAACAACAAGCATTAAATATTTGACCAGCCGTAGGTACGCGTATAGAATTAATATAATACTCCCTCCGTCCCAATTTGTAAGATACATTTCGGTTTACGATGTTTGACTGACGAAAAAGCAAATTGATCCCTGTCAACACCCAAATTAGTTCTAGAAAATAAAATTTACATATTCAAAAACTACATTAAATCCGCTACAAAACCTGCAAAAAATAATTCAAGCTTCATAAACTTTTGATATATAAAATAAAAGTTTAGAAGTGATTTATGTTGACCAAGTGAATAGTAAATGTATCTTACAATTTGGGACTGAGGGAGTACTAGAATTTCACCCGTGCGATGCACGGAACAAAACATTCAAAATTATTTTCATTTCAAAGGATTATATATATACAATGTGAGGATCAATTTTTATAAGTAATGAGTGAAAGAATAGATATATAATTTAAACCAATAGTAATCGGAGTAAGATGATACGAAAACAAATTATTTGTGATATAAAGTAAAAAACAAATGTCACGGGCTCATTGATTGTCAGATTTGGTTATTGTTACCCACTTACCCCAGAGTTGTATTGTGAATGCTCTTAACTTTGATTTGATTAATATGTATTTAATTTTATTCGCTAAAAATGATATACTCATAGGGATGGACCTTGTCCCAGTCCGGTCCCGGTGGACCGGCCAATCCCGCTTTGCCATATTCATATTCATCAACCAACTTTTTTTTACTGAACATGTAAATTTGAATTTCAAATGCTAATTAAATTGTGTTATAATAAAAATAAAAATAAATAAGTTCATAATTGATTTTCTGGTTGAATCGGTTGAAGTTATTTGAGAATACAATTTTAGATATTTTTCATATAATTTATCACAATTCAACATATTCAACTTTTAGCAGATTCAACTAATGTTTGCCAAACGGGCCCTTAAGGGTTTTTTCCTGACCTAATGGACTTGATGAGAATGTAATCACTAACCCATTAAATCATGTTTAATTATGACTTAATTGAAAGCGTTACTTAATTATTCCGTAAAAAACTGATTTAATCATTAACCTGGAAAATAGTAATCCTTCCCATTAAGATGTCTAATAAGACGTCATTTCTTTTAATTTTTTTAAATCGAATGTGGAATAAATTTAGATTAATAAATGATGTTTTTCATTGACATTAGAATTCAAGAGTAATGCTAAATTGATTTTTTTACACAATTCAAATTGTTTCTTCAACACACAAATAAAGTCTCATATACAAATATCACTTATTATAGTCTTATAGACATACCTCACATACATCATAAACATGTTTGGTTCTGGTTACCATGATGCTCTCCCTTTGGTTGAGTTTGTTCAAGATTCCTTCTTGGATTTGAGGCTTTCTCCATAAGATACTTTTTTCAAAATTTAAGTTGATCCTTGGGGAATTGAAAAAAAAAAAAGACATACATCATAATCCATGAAAAAAGTAAAAAAAACCCTTATTCTAATTGGTCACTTGGTCTTTCATATCTAATGCCTAGTACTAAACACTATGTAGTAGATGAAGTCCTCTGTCAAAGTGACTTTTTCTACCCTGCACTTTTCCATACTCCGTATTTTAATTGGTTACATTCAGCTCCATCTAAGTGACTCTAAGCACATTACAAATTTTATAGCATCGATCCCTAGCAAGAAACTTAGGAAAGCAGAGGGTAAAACCAATGATTATTAGCAATGTTAAAGATAATCCTTCAATAACACGAATTTCATGCATAAAAATATTCAAAAGTTAACCGAGTTAACCACAAAACCATATCATTGTACTGACAGGAACAAAATGAAAATGTACAATTTATTAGACTCGACATTCCTCTGTGTGCTGCAACAAAAGTATCAAATAGATCCTATTGTTTTCGGGGAATTCTCACTTTTCCTATAGGAGTTACCTATTGACCAGTGAATTGGGAAATGAGATTTTACAGTCAGTTTATATGGAACTCATGTTATTGAACACATTAGTAAAAATGAACAAAATGTATTCCGAAGCTTGTATATTGAAGCAATGAAGCATTTAATTCTAAATAGACTACTTACCTGCAGTTAAGTGAGTATACAGAAAGTTCTTTTGAGATTTATGCATTGAAAGTGAATTACTTGATTTCCATTTTCATCTTTAACAGTTTACTAACTATTTTTATATTTTGTATTTTGCAGGGGTATGCCATATCATCAGAATGAGTAAAAAAACTTGCTATTCACAGGAATCCAAAACAAAGTCATGAAATCATCAGACTAAAACTTAAGAGATAAATGATAAAATCTATGTAGTGGAATGAAGTTTGTGAATTGGATTTCTAACTATAACAGTACAACAGGATGGTGTTTACAAATTACCTTTCATGGCTTTCAATAAATGGAGAAACTTGGGATTCAAGATTAGTGTTATTTCCCTACCAAGTCTATTTATTTTAAATTTATAAAAATTTGAAACATTTTAATTATTCCTCTGTCATTGAGGAACAATCAATTAAAAATGAATAATAAAAATGTAGATGATAAAGATCAGAACAATCAACTTAAAAAAAAATTGAAAGTTTGCAGGGAGTTACCAAAGTCTCTTTTTTTATCACTACTTTAGTGAAGATAAGGAGGCTCCCCCAGCATATGTGCACAAAAATATTATATTGATTGCTAGCTAATAACGCTTTTTAGTTGAATTAGGAGAGATTGTGTGAGAACTGCACACTCTTCCTGAGACAAAGAAAATATGGAGTATATAATTGTGAAATCTCAAATAAAGAGAGGCTTGCGACTAATCTCCCCGGTGAGATTATTCTGTATCTTAATTTTCAGGTTTGTAATTAAGTTTTGCCATAATTACAGTTTTAAGAATCTCACCCTACTTTTCTTCAATTAAGCTCTCAACTAATTACAGATTTAAGTTCTCAGGCTAGTCCAAAAATAATATCACCGTGCCTTTCTTCTTTGTGAAGTTCTCAAGCCCCAGAGATGCCACCAGTCTACCACAGGCCTCGTCTCCCGCCCCTTGCTGTCCACCGTCAATTGCGTCGCGTCGTACTGTCGTCAGCCGCCTGCGTCAGCCCAGCAGCCCGCCTACTCACCCAGGTGGCCCAATTGAACTGTTGATCATGTCGGCGGTGTCGCTTAGAGCATTCACAATGGGAGGTCAAATGAGGATCAAAAAACAAATTGATGCCACTTGATCCCCACTATGGGAGATCAATGAAGTGCTCGGTCAAATGGGGAGGTTAAAAATGAGTCTTGAGCAATCTTTGGTGACTAACCAATCACAAAAGGCCATGTGGCTTTGTTTTAGTATCATGGAACGGATGGCTTCTCATCCCCATCAAAATAGCCACCAACCTTATTAAATTTATATCCTCCACCTCCCTAATTTCATTTATTATTCATTAAATTTAATTTTTTGTAAAAAACAAATTATACCAAAAAATTAGATTTTTTATCCTCTATAAAAAGATATCAATGAAGGATATGTTTAGTCAATTCGAAATTTATCACTCTTTTACCTTTTGCAACTTATTTTATCTGTTTTAGAATATTTTTTCTCTGAAAATGGATCGAACTCGTTCTCTACCTCGATACAATGCCAACAATAAATAATTATAGTGAGTCAAATGTGGATTTTATATTCCATTTTCAAATCATATAAATTAATAATGGTGGAATATACCAAAAAATGGAGAGAAAATGTACAAATTTTAAGTGATCTAGGTCACCATAGTGGGGTGAAAGTATGATAGATTAAAGAGGATTAAGTTTTTATAGGAGAGTGATGTGGAAGAGAGAGGAAGGGATCAAAACACACCACCATTGTGGATGGTCTTACCGTCCAAAACTCCCACTCCAGCCACCCCTACTGCCCTGCTGCTACCGCCCCTCCTTTGCCACTGGCAATGTCAATCTCATCTCACACTCTCAAAACCCAGAGAGAGGAGTTTAAGGGAGGTTATAAAGCTGAGTGTAAGTCAGAGCTTTATTGTCGTTTCCTTAACTTTTCTGGTGAAATAGACCCGTGAAATGACCATAGGATTTTTGTATTCCAATGCACTACTAATCGTAATTACTTTGACCAGGTCACCCCGTTTTTGTACCCTTTTCTACACGTATCCTTTGAACAAAGCATCACCCTTTTTTTAACTCGGTGCAGTAACATTTTTTTACCCCTGATTGAGACATTTTTGAGCGGGAAAAATGGCCTGATTTCCACCTCTTTTTATATAGAGATAGATAATTAGCTCCTACCCTCTCCTCTCCATGTAATTAACCAAAGTCAAAGTTAATAAGTAATCTAAGAACCAATTAATGTTCCAGGGATTGAGCCTGTCTCATTCTCAAGTTACTTGGTTTCAACAACTCATCATGTATCTGTGGCAATGGCGGCAGCTGAGGGAACAATAGCTTCTGGTAAGGGACGAATTTGAAGGGGGATAAGTGTAGTGACTTGTTGAGTTAGAGGGGCGGATGAATGTTGTTGCCGCTGCCAATGCTTAACATCTTCTTTTCCTTTAAAAGACCCGAAACTCCCACCATCCCAAGGGCTTTCCTCACTTCATTTGCAAGTTCAACTATGTACTTATCCTCATGCCCAATATCATGCAAGGCTTTCTCCATTTTGAAAATATACTCCCTGTTGTTCCCGCAAGGACCAAAAGCAGTAGCTATTTGTTTTGCCATTACTTCTACTGGAGCAGGTCCCAGGTAGTACTTGTTATTCACTTTTGTCTGGAGTGGACATAAACACCAAAACTCCAGTTATAGCAGGATAAACAGGGTCTTGTTCCGTGAAAAAGTCCATTGAAGATTTGTGATCATATTCACATTCTCTTCGCTCCAAATACTCCATAGCCTTCTTTTCCTTCTCTGTCCCTCCTTGAACACAATAGGCAGCACCCCAAGAGATGGCTCCCTCACTTTTCTCCAAGGTGCAAGTTCTAGCAGGGTTTTGAGGCGTACCTCGGTGATCAATGCAAGCTAGATCGAAAACCCGCATGCAATCCCTGATGTACCCAATCTTCTTCTCATAGTATTCAAACCCGGGATTCCAAACCAATGACCCGTATCCGAATATCCAGAACCCCATCCTCCTGCTGATCAAGCTTCTTCTTCACAAACCTGTCAACAATCTCGAAGAATGTCTCTGGATGGAAAACACGAAAGGAGTTTCTTTCCTCGAACAAAGACAATGCTTGCTTAAAAATTAAAATAGGTTTGATTTGAACTCGAAAACCCTAACCTGACAGGAGGCGGGGGGAGCCCGGAGACTTTCTTGGCTCTCCTTCAACCAGGCCTCTCTCTGCCCCTCTCTCTCTATTGGTAGGATTTGGAGATTCCCCCCTTATTTTACCTATTTGGAGAGACAATCCGTCTAAAAATGAAATTCGTGTAAATTTATAGTTATCTTATTACTTGGTCATTATAAACAATTTACCTTCAATTAATTTATATAAACTTTTGAAAATGAAAAAAATGGCAAAATCATTAGTGCATCACAAAGTGAATTACTAGCAAAACATTTCACTAAAATAAATGATTTTGACATAAGTTAGTGCGAGATAAATTGTGTTGATTCCTAAGCATTCCTATTAACAACTTCAAATGTAAGTAGTCATTGTGAGGCATTGGTTTTGTTGTTGAAAATGCGTTTTTTAGTCATATTCAACTTTGTGTGGTTGGGTTAACAATAACCAATCGATATTATAGTGTGTGATACATACTATAAAAACATTATAGTGTGTGATACATACAATAAATAAAAGTCAAGGTCAATCTTTGTCCCGTGTTGGGTTGTTGTTGAAAAAACGGTATTTACCCACGGACAATTGTATGTTGCAGTATCAATGGTTACCCATCGTTGTGGTTTGAAAATTCTAATTGTTGATGAAGATGAAGAAATTACAAACAAGACTCAGAATGTTGTATTCAAATAAGTGTTCAACAATGTTTAGGTTTACATTAAATGCATATTTACAATGTTATGGTTTCAACGTATTTGTTGGATGTTTGTGATCTTTTAAGTAATGCTTAGTACTCACAGTTTGACCATAATATTATAAGTGTGTTTCGTTTAATGTTTCGATGTATATCAGTATTACATGAAGATATATGTTGTAATTAATTGATAGTGTGATTTGAATTACTAAGCACAAATAAATTAGAAAGAAAAATTCTCGAACCGTGCATCGCACGGGTGAATTACTAGTATATATATATATAGGGGTTAGTTCCTGTGAGAACACCCTCTTAGGAGAGTAAAAAAGAACAAAATCTAGTCTTCCATTAACTTGATCTAATGGGTTAGCATTTTTTGAAATAGAGACCAAATTTCGGATCAATAGGCTTAATATAAGGCAACCGTTCAATTGAAAATTAAATAAGGGGCACCATGGTAAATGTCATCCAAGTAGTTATTACGCATGTGGCAAGATAATAGGAGTACATCCTAGAAATTAGGCTATTAATTAATAAGGAGTAACGTACCTCCCATCCCTCCTATCTAATATATACTTTCTATTGTTTAATTTTCTTTCCATATTAAATTTAGTATTATCTCACATATTATTTTAGTAAAAAAATTGATAACAAAAACTCTATCCAAATTGTGCAATTTTTCTCGTTTAATCGTCTTTTCAGAGGTAATATTTCACTCGTTTAGTTTTGTATATTTGCACTTAAACGTTTAATAGTTGCACTTTTACTTGAAACATTTTGAGTAATCCATTTAATTGAATATTTAGATGCTTTTGCATCCTAAAGGAAAATTACATGTTTATTACATTAATTTACACCACGCTAATGTGCTTTCTATAACATTAACTTTTTAAACATTTAATACTACACATTCATACAAGTCCGGGATAAAAATCATAAAAATTAATATAAATATACAAGGGTGTAAATAATAACTATAACGTGCATTTAGAATAATACCAATGTGCACTATTATATCAGACTTTCTAAACCTCTTCATTGACATTCTTTTAGAAAATAAAATGCACTTCTATTATGTGCGTTTAAGTATACATAAGAGTGCACTAAAATATCACACTTTTCAAATATTTTACATTGACACTTTTTACTAAATTAAATGCACTTTTCTTCTGAAAGTGTCACAATTTTCAATATGGTAGGGTCTCTGGGTGTCACTTTTATCTGCAAAACAAAGTACAATAAAAACTATGAATAGTGCATGAATTAAATTTGACAAGTGCATTAAAAGTTAGATACAAAATTTATCATTATTATCTTATTAGCAGTTATTAGATAACTATTACGAAATTGTTGGACATTAAACGTGTTAAATGCATCATATGACAATGTAAATGCACTAAACTACTAGTGAAATCTATCAATCTAAAAATATGTTAATACAAACCCATATATCTAAAGATATGCAGCAATAATATGAAGAAGTGCAATACCAAAATGCATATAAGAGCATCATTATAATATTTAAAGTGCCCAACAAAAATATTCAGAAATTAACAAATACAGAGTATATGCTATTAATAGACACTATAGTAAAAGTGCAATATCAGAATGCATATAAGAGCATCATAATAATGTTTGAAGTGCAAAACAAAAATATTCAGAAATTAACAAATGCATGCTATTAACAGACACTAGAGTAAAAGTGCAATGTCCAACCAAACGCATATCCATCCTAATACAATTTGTCACGCCCCGGACCTATCCGGACACGTCAACAACCCGCCGTACAATATGAATAGTCAACCGCAGTCCAACACATTCATATTATACAAGGCATCTTGAATATCATTCACACATGTACATCCATAAACAAACATAATAAGTAATTCATAACGCAGCGGAAAACATTGTTTAAAACAAAAGGGCCACACATGGCTATTCATGAGCACGCAGGCTCTATAGTAAAATATCCATGAGCATGTTTATTAATGTTTAAAAACAGAATGGAGGAAGCACGAACCAAGTCTTCCCTCCTATATGATCTCTCGAGCTACGAGCACAGGAAGCAAGCTCTAGCCTCAACCTGAAAAATGGTGGTGGGACGCCCCCGAAGGGGTCAGCACTCTATAGGGCTATAAAGTGCTGGTGTGGCAGGCATCTAATAGATATACAACAAGTATTTCACACACAAGACCCTCAAATAGGGTGATAATATAGTATAGGCCGTAATCTCAAATTACCCCTTTCAAAATATATACTTACTTTATATAAAGTCAAGTAGTCGGCTCAAAGGCCCATGTTTGTTATAAAACATTTTCCAAAACCCCGTGACTAATGGTCACGACATACGTAGGGTCCAACCCTAATACAACTTCTCATTTCTAGAGTTCGGCTCGAGTACATCATCATGCGCTCGCATCATAGATCTCCTACTTCATATAATCATATCATAGATCTCCTACTTCATATAATCACACCATAGATCTCCTACTTCATAAAACCACACCATAGATCTCCTACTTCATAAAACCACACCATAGATCTCCTACTTCATAAAACCACACCATAGATCTCCTACTTCATAAAACCACACCATAGATCTCCTACTTCATAAAACCACACCATAGATCTCCTACTTCATAATTTCCCAATTGACACTTGAATCTCATTCAAGTTCATCACAAACAAACTCAACCTTTAAGTTTGGTTCTATCAACATTTAGAACAATCCTTAACTAGCATCACAATACTATTAAGATTATTCCTACAACTCATTTATCATTAATGGTAGCCCCTCCATATCAATAGATATGTGGCAGCCTCCCATGTGCTAAGCATCATCATGCAATCATACATTTACATACACATAACATTCATACATGAGTTGGAAGGTCAATTTACCATTTTAGCATACTTTTATCTCACATGACTCCATATTCATCAATATGGTTTCAATTTATGATCAAGTCCATTACTTATCATTCATATCATGTTCAAGCATATTTATTCACAAAAAACATGATTTAAGCATTTAGGTAATCTCATGCATAACCTACAAGTTGTAAGCAACTAGATGTCGGTCCTCACCTCAAATGAGCTTTAAAACCTTCCTTCTCGATCCAATGACCAAAGCCTCGGCCAAGGAATATTGAGAGCTGGTTCCTTGCTTGAAAATGGGTGTTAAACAGCTTCCTCAAGTTGCTATTTCAACTCCTAATCGTTGATACGAAAACAGCCCCTAGAACGGGTGTTTTCCGGCTAACTCGATTCCTAGTTTTCCAATATTTGCATCTAGGTTAGTATCTAACCTTTACATCAATAAAATAACTTAATAGGGATGTTTTATACACTTGGAGTAGTGTATAATAGTCCCACCAATCGTTCATATCATTTGGAAAATGAATGGAAAGGTTTTGGGATTAAAAACTCACTTAGAAGAGTAAATCCGTCCCTGCGAGGTCGCGTTCTGCTCGGATGATTTGGAAGCCTTAATCTACTCCGATTGATGCAAACCAGACCTTCACGGATTCCTCGTCTTGAGAGCTTTCTTTTGGTATCTCACACGCCTTAATTGGATTGGTAAAACTCGAGATATCAACCAAACAGTCTCAGCACTCTCACAGCTCGAGTTCACAGACCACTGCTCGCTTCAGATCGATTTTTGGATGACTACTCTCTCCTCTCGAACAGAGACCACTCAATTATGAAAATAGACTTCAAAGGCTATCCAAGGACACCTTATACACCTCATTTGGACGAGTACAACTCTCAAAATGAAGGGAGACAAAACAGCACACCTGTTTGTGCGAAAACAGTGGTGGTGGCCCCAAAATTTGATTCCAATTGTGTCATGGGCAGTGCTTCTCCATGTGGTGCGGCCAAGGTGAGTCTTCTCACATATTTTCCTTGTCTTGCAGGTACTAATATCATGTGGAGTGGTTCCCCATTGATCCCAATTAATTTGGGATCCAAAATATCTATCAATACACCCAAAAATGGAAGAATGGGTCATATTGTTTTATCTTTTGTCAAAGATGTCTTTTTGTACTCATCCTAATTTATTTAGAACAAGTCAACTTCCTACATAACATTATTGATCCCCAATATGTGTAGGCTCATCTCAATAATTTACTTGATGGATAATATAGAAGGAAAATCCTACTCCCATTATTTGGCTCAATAATGCCAAAGATGGGGTTATAGGCATTTGTACTCTTCTTTAATCATCCTATCACTTATCTTGACATTTGTCATTCATATTATTGGGCTACAAGCCGTGTGGGTCGCCCCCGAGTGGGCCTACGACGCCGTCCTCAAATATTTGCTACT